CACCCAGACCTGCAGCAGCCCACGATGCCCGAAGCCCCCTGCGTGCCAGGAGAGGAGGGCGTCTTGCTGCCCAGGCACTGCGAGGCCCCTGCCCTGCAGACCTCCGCCAGCCAGTATTTCACCACCCTGCATACCTCGCTCTGTGACATTATTGCGTGCTCGGTGTCCAGGTCCTCCCCGGAGCTCTTGCGGGAGTGGTTGAAGAAGGCAGAGCTGGCAGAGGAGCTGGGAGAGATGCCCAAATCCCCCCCCAAGCCCAAGAATGGCTCCAAGATCCCTGAACCTCAGAAGCCCACCAAAGGCAAGGAGATCTGGTTGGCTTTCCAGGACGTGGCTGCTCTCCTCACCAACCTGCTCTCTCAGCTGGAGACCTTCATGTTCGCTCGCAAGTGTCCTTTTCCCCACGTAGTCCGGGCAGGGGCTGTCTTCATCCCCATCCACGTGGTGAAGGAGAAGCTCTTCCCCAAGCTCCCAGGGACCTCTGTTGACCAAGTGCTGCAGGAGCACAAGGTGGAGCTGCGCCCCACCACGCTCTCGGAGGAGAGGCATCTGAGGGACCTGGAGCTGAAGAGCTGCACGTCACGCATGCTGAAGCTCCTGGCCCTCAAGCAGCTCCCTGACATCTACCCGGACCTGACTGGCACAACTCCATCAGGCAGCAGCTCGGTAAGTAGCCTGGCACCTCCTGCAGAGGGCTGGTGGCGCTGATGGGTCCCTGGGATTCTTCCAGGGAAGCTCCAGCCACATCTGCCTCCTGGAGGCTGCTGTTTGGTTGGGAGCATCCATCGCTTGCACAGTCCCTCAGCATCCTTGTCCTGCCAGGGGTTCTGTGGAGCGGAATATTTGGCTTTTCTCCGTGGGTTGTGGAGGGGATAAGCTTGAGCTGGGGGGTGGCAGTGGAGCTGGGGGGAGTTGTCCCTGCCTGCCTGGGTGAGAACAGTCATCCTGCGGATATCAGGGAGGTGTTGGTTATCTCCAGGCCACCTCTGCCCCTCCAAGGGATCAGGAATGCGCTGGGAGTGGAGCAGCGTGTGCGCCACATGCTGGACCTGCCACCCCCGACTGTCCCATCCCTCCAGTGACAGTCCCGCCACCCTCCTCTCCCCAGAGCGATGCCCTTTGGCTGCTGCTCCGGGCCATTGCCAACAACGTTATTTCTTACAGGTTCGAGCCCGCAGGCTGGCCAGCGTCCCTCCAAGTAGGTAACTCCTCTTCTCTGCGCGCGTGAGCGTATTTACAGAACTTGTGTGTAGCTATGTGAAGGCATGCGTGTGTTTGTATGTATTTCCCACGATGACGGAGAGCGTGGGCTGGCTGGGAGGAGCACACAAGTGTTGGGGATGGGGAGGCGAAGACCCTGCCATCCCCAGCCGCTCGTTCCTCCCCCAGGTAGCCCTGGCATGGAGGCACTGAAAGCTGATGGCAGAGAAAGGAGGCACTGAGGAATGTGCCGAGGACAACAGTCGAGTCACCCGCCCGTGAGGACGGGGAAGGGAAGGTCCCCTCTGTCCCCAGAGCCGGGTCCTCTCCTGGCAGCGACGGGGATGCCGAGATGAAGCAGGCAATCACCAGCGGACCTGGTGCTCGGCTCCCGCCAGTGGGGCAGTGGATGGGGACAGGTCCTCTGGGGATGCTGGTGCCTGGAGGCCACCGGCACCGCAGGGACTCTCCAAGGACAATGCCCGGGGCGGAGAATAGGGACGCACGACCCAGGGATGCTCCATGGCTGTGAGCAGGGATGGCTGGTGTGATACCCTGGCCCCTGGTGTCCCACTGCCATCCACAACCGGCCAGGCTGCCGCTGGAGCAGGAGTCCCAGCGGGGCTGCAGGGCTGGAGCAGCGTCTGTCCCCGCAAAAGGAGCGTGGCCACGGCCACAGCCCCAGCACCATCCCCAGCCTTGGCGGAAGGCTGGCCACTGCAGGGATGATTTTCCACGCCCTCTCCTCTCTCGTCTACCTTGCCTCTCCTGCTTTATACCCGTTGTTCCCAATAAACACATCTTCCTCCTGGTTTTTCATCGTTATGCAGAGACTTAACACAACATTAAGGGTCAAGGGAATCGCAACTTATGTAGTTACAGGACTGATTTTTTTTTTTTGGTGGTTTTAAATGAAGACATTTTAAAAATGTTATGAGTTTACCTTTATAAGGAGCTGCTGCCTTATCTGGGTTTTATTTTTAAAAAAAAAAAAGTAATTTATATTTGCCTTTTTATTTAAACTCATGGCTTCACCTGTTTACTGTGTGGGACCAAGGTGGCTGGAGCGATGCTGTTGGGGCTGGGAGTTTCAGTTCCCATCGTAGCCGAAAAAGGCTGTGAGAAAGGTTTAAAGACTCTTAAAGAAAACCTGATCACTTCACGACACAGATCCCAGCCATCCCAAAGGAGAACACAGGAGATGCACATTTGGGGAGGACCTTGACAGAGACATGGCAGCTCCGGAGCCACTGGAGGGGCAGGAGAGAGGGGCGAGGCTGCGAGGCCTTGGAAGGGGAGATCGTTTCCATCCCGTGGGCACTGAAGGGTTGATGGGCACCCCAAGAGGGTTCTGGCAGCCGAGGACGGACGGACTCCCCCTCGCCGGCTCTGCAGCGGCAGTACACAGCAGAGGCCTTACAAACTCGACACTCAGGTGTTTTTCCAGCTGACACAGGGCATGGAGGAACAAAATGAGGATTATTGTGATTTTTTATTTCACTACAGGAAATATTTATTTTAAATTAAGAAAATGGAGGAAAAAAAAGAGAAAAAAAAAAAACCAAACCCTACCCAAACTGTACCATAGGCCCTTTTTTTTTAGCCAAAAGGTGGGTTTGCTGGCAGGGGGGCGGGTAAAAATGCCCCTGCCGTGTTCCTGCGGGTGCCTTTCTGGTTTTCCACTGGGATGTACTGGCCACGCGGGGGATGGGGAAGGGGGGGCTGCTGCCCTCCTCGCCCTCCCTTGCCGCGCCGGGTCTGTGCATAGAGTTGTAAAGCGATTTGGAAAGCAGTGTTTGTTAATAATATTGCAATTTTTTTATGTGTGTATATAACTGGTTCCAAGGAAGAGAGTTCCTTCACTTTATTTAATATTTTGTAAGAATATGAATTATCAGAGGTGCCTCGCCTGATTAAAGGCTTCGGCTCATTTTCAAATACGCCATGCTTTGGTCTTTGCTGTCCTGACTGGGCACCCAGCGCCTCCCCACCGGCTGGGTGGACCAAAACCCAGTGGGTGGTGTGTTTGCAAGAGGCCACGGGCGATGTGCTCCGTCCCAGCATCACAGGGCTGGGTCCAGTGTCCCACCCGCTGCGGGTGCCGGGGGCTGCAGGGAGCCCCGGGGGCCACCCGTCGGTAAGGGAGCACATCTCAGCACCGGTGGGGGGTACGGCCTGAGCCCCCCGGGTGGCAGCCGGGGAGGGGGGTGCTGCTGGAGGTGTCTGTGTGTCGGAAACGGGGCAGGAGAGCAGTGGGGTACAGCGGGGCTGACAGCAGTCCCCCAGCGCTCTTCTGCCCGCTGCTGGGGTGATGCACCCCAGGCTGACTCAGCCAGGACCCCCGAGACACCCTGCCCCTGTGAGCCCCCATCAGAAGCACGAAATCTGCCTCGTCCCAAGAGCCAAACGCCCCAAGCCATGTTTTTCAGCTCAAATTTCTCCATCCCAGTAAGGGAACAGCACTGCCAGGACCCGCTCCCCGCACACAGGGCATTTTGAGGAGCACCTGTGGTGTTTGGGGAACCAGCATGCATGCTGCTTCCCCTGCCAAGGGCTTAACGAGGAGCAGAGGGAAATGAGACCCCTCCAGCAGGGAGAGAGCTTCACCTGGGGGAGTGCAAATTTGTGTGTTAATGGGGAGCAGCTGGAATGGACCCACACCCCCCTCCCTCCCTGGGAAATGAGATAAAAGCGTAGGGCTAGGGTGGGGGCTTGGTGATCTTGTCTCTTTGGATGCTAGGTAAGGGGTGCTAGAGTCTTGCTGTCCCTGGTGGGGCTATCTGAGACTAGGGGGCGCTTTGGGCAGGGATGAGGTAATGTCTGAGCCCAAGGCTGGCTGCTACAGCCCTGCTCTGCACCAGGAGCCTCCCTGGCTCCTCTGGGGAGGTGCCGAGGCTTGGCACAAACTTTCCTGGGCTGGAGAAGCTGCTCAGTGCTGCTGGAGACCAGGGAGATGTTTTGAGATGGGGCCTCCTGGTCCTGGTGTGTGGGATGCTCCAGGGACTGGCCAGCCAATGTCACTGGGGTGGGCTGGGGATGGGTGTGGGGAGCTTGGAGGGGCCCAGCCTAAAGTTCCTGCTGTAACTCTCCACAGGGGGGCTTTCCCCATGGCCTCACCCAAGCGGAGCCAAGGGATAGGACCACCAGACCTCACTGATGTCACTGCCCTACAGCCGAAAATGATGCTCTGTGGTGAGAGGGAAGGGGCTGTGGCCACAGCCCTGGGTGCTGCTGCCCATGTGGCCACCAGCGGTCTGTGGCGCAAAGCCTTCCTGCTGCTGGCTGTCTGCCTGTCTGCCACAGCCCTCCTGGGCAGCCTGGGGTCTCTGGCTGCTCCTCCCCGGGCCCCCCCAGGCTCCCCACCGCCTTTCCACGCTTGGCCAGGCTTGCCAGCCCCTCAGAGAGGGACAGGTGATGATCTGGTAGCAACACACAGGGACCTGCTTGGCTACCCAGCGATGCCGCAGCGTGGGAGGGCGCCGATGGGCTCTGCAGGCATCCCAGGCTGCTCCCCAGGGGCAGAAGGAGACCTGACCCACGATAAGAGTTCTGAGGGATGGAGCCTGGGGACACC